ATTACTATATTCAACATCACCATCATCGTTTTCATTATCAGTTATGAACGTTGCCAAGTCATAAATCAAGAGTTATCCAATTATTCATTCTGCAAAACCCCATAACGGTGTCCTTTCGAACTTTTCCTTGATAAATAGTTACCATCACAATGCAAAAACGTATGGTATAGGCCTACATAGACAATACAAGATTAAAAGTTAAAAACTGAAGTATAATTGCAAGGTAAGGCCTCTCTGCACATGGAAACGCCTTTGTCTTGAGGATAGTACTGCAAATATTAAAACTTTAATGAGGAATGCGCAGATTATCAAACTTGAGGGCGCTGTGAATAAATGAAGCGATTCGCGTAACGGACACAGGCAGTAAGAGATCGAAAAAAGTTTAAAGTTGTTTGTCAGCCCTTTTACACCATCCTCCGATGCCACAGGAGACTTCCGGCTGATCTTACTATACCTTCTTGCGGATTCATGGTAAAGTAGAGGTTTCGGAAAGCGAGAAACAGAAACAAGTACTTTGTTTGATGAAAGAGTAGACCGTAGGCTATAAATCAGTCCGTTGGATCCGGAGATGGAATTAAAGAGTTGAAGTTACAGTCATCATCGACTACCAATCATAAATCCGACAATATTTCAACCAGGACTCTTACTCTATAGTAATATGTCTTGTTCTGGACTGGATTATTGTAATTCAATCATGATAGGTATGTCATCTTTTAACATCAAGCGACTTCAGAAGTTGCAATATAACATGCCGCTAGTCTTATTTTTACGAAATGCCGTCGAGAAAGAGCAAGTCCTTTAAAAAAAAAAAAGTTGCACTAACTGCCTGTATGTATGTATTGGAGCGAATCGCTTTTGAACTTGCCCTTTTTGTTTTCAAATCTCTTGTGTTATTTAAAATCCCCTATATCATTGACGTATAAATCTCTACATCAGACAGAGCAGTTTTCCAAGTCTCTCACTCTTCCGTCGTATGGCAGAGACGTCTTTTCGATACCACTTTTAAAGAAAATTCTGACAGACCATTTTTAATCCTAGCTGCAATGTCTGCAAACATTTCCCATATATTGCAAAGTTCAGAAATTGCAAAATGTATTGTTTGGTGTAACTATACATAGCCTAGATCATTAAATTGGAAATCTCACATCTGTCATATCAATAATTAAAAAAAGCCAATACCACACTCGGGCTCTTGCATTGCAATCTTAGAAACTCCCCCAACAAAATAAAAGAACTAGCATACAAAAAGTATGTCCGCCCAACTGTTGAGTATTCCTCCTCAGTTTGGGATCCATACACAAAGGAACTTATACATATGTTGAAAATCAGGGGTGACGCCAGGATTTTCCCGACGGGGGGTGGGGCGATGCCCCAACTAGTGGTCAGATTTCCCCGACGAAAGCAAAGTAGGCGTGGTCGAGCTTCGATTAAAAGGTTTCGAAAATGGTCCAGGGAGTGAAGCCCCCGAAAATTTTGACGATTTAGGGGTTTCAAAGGCTTATTTAATCGATTTTAGAGTCTACTAATATGTAGAAAATACGTATAATTTTTTTTCTCCCTACGAATTGTGCTTTTTCTCCCCGACGGGCCACTCCTGTTGGAAATGGTTGGCTCACTCCATTAACCACAGTCACAAGAGGCCATAATTCAAGATTCAGACAACCATTTGCTAGGACCCGGTCATTTCAGTCAGGTTTTTTCCCAAGTATGGTCTCTGGAACTCTCTTCAACAAACTGCCATCTCTACATCAACTGTGACAGGTTTCAGGACCGCAATTGAGCCACTGCAGTTTTTTGTTAAATAATAATAATTATTATTTCCCTTTATACAAGTATGATCCTCACATCAGAGAGGCCTGTACTCACCGGAAGAAGAAGATTGAAATGACGCATAAATTGTAAATGGTTGTGGATTCTAGGGTGACTTTAACAGTTTTCCCAACTCGGAAACCTTACTCTGAAATTACCGGGATGGTGTCTAGTAGGGAATAGTTTTACCACCATTAGCTACTAGCTAAGGCTGTTGAAACTGTAGTTATGACTGGATAAGACATTTGATTTAGGACTACTTAATTACAGCCTAAACTAACCTTAGTTAATACTAGGGCCTATCTTTTCATGCTTTCCTATTTTTGATATTGTTCCAAATTTTGCATTACGGGTAAAAATAACCTACGCATCTGGGGATCTGAAGTGAGGTATGTTGCCGGGATCATGTTATACTTGGCGTTACAGATTGCTAATCTGCAGACAAAAATGAACAAAGAATTAATGAAAAGGGTTACAGAAAGACTTTGGGCGAAGAAAGATGATTGGATTTTAACTTGTGCATCAAATTTGTTGCATCAAAGTGCGTCTCATTTGGAAGTACTAGTAGCTAGAAGTATAATAGAGATGGTTTTATGAAATATGTAGGTCTACTGTCCTAATCAGTTGTGTGGTTGAAGAGAACAGTTGTTAGAATTCCGGTTTTGTCACTTTTTGTTTATTCTTGCTACTTTTCTCCCATTTACCATTTGCAATTCTATTATTTATTTCAGTATTACCGAAAGATGACTTACAGTATTCATCAGCTCGCCCATCCCACTATCTAGCTATCGTATCAGTGTTGGCGTCATTAAAACCCTCCTTTGCGCGCAGTCTATTTAAAATAACATTCATTTTCAATGTTATATAATATGCCTACATATATTTTCTTCATTTTTATTACGTTTTTGGATACATTTATCTTATGCAAAAATAACCGTTTCCATTCGCTTTTAAAATAAATCCAAAAAGAAACGACATTGGGCAAAGAAAATATAGAAAGAGGGACCTCATCGATACGTTATGGAGTTGAGGGAGGCATTTTAACAGATTGGACTGTAAACATGATCAAGTGGAAATTTAACCGTTATCGCTATCAACATTGATTTTCGGAACTCGTCGAATATTTAAGCTTTGTTTAATGAGGCTGACGGAAAATAATATTCTGTATACTGTATGCGGTGTATTGGTGGAATGGGTAAACTGCAGGTCTATTACAGCACTTATTTTAACAGCGCTCGAACACGTTTAGGTACACGTAAATAGTTAATTCGAAACCGTCTTACGAATACTATAATGCTTAATAATTCATCCATTTAAACGGAGAACGGCGTGGGTGAAAAAAGAGGAATATATTGAATTAAAAAAAATAATAATTTAAAAAAAAATGTGCGCGAGCGTTCCAGTCAGTTGTATGAGAAAGTGTCTGGGGGTTAGCTATGCACGGTCTCCGTGGTCTAATAATTACTTGCCTTGCGAGAGGTTCGATTCCCGCCAGAAACGCTTCTTTCATACACTGAAATAAATGAAGTTTTTGAGCTATGCTTGATACGATTATTACAACATGTTCCTAATCGAACACTGTCATTATTATTTATCTATTTGTTTATATTGTGTTGACGGTGCTTTCCAAGTATGCATGTGCATGAATGTGAAGAATTAGAAAGCTTTAATCGAATTTGAATTCCCAACAAAGTTTTAATGGGCCAATGGGTGTCTGCATTGACAGCAGAAGGTCCCGGGTTGGAATCCCGGTTGAGGCACCTACTTTTTCACGCCCGCATATTCCTATTATTTAACGTGCAAATGTATTATGAATAATTATAGCATTACCACAAGACGGTTTAGAGTTTATCTCTATTAAATCATGATATATAGGCCTATATATATATATATATATATATATATATATATATATATATATATACAGTATATATA